CCCGATGATAAGATATATGTTTTTCTTCCGCCTTGATGCAGGTTCCATGTTACACGCTATGTTTTCAAGCAGATTTGACACAAAACCCGGCGAGGACGGATCTTACTTCATTGATCGCGATGGAACACATTACCGTTACATCCTGAATTATCTTCGGACGGGAGAGCTTATCGTCCCAAATGATGAGATCATTCGCAGAGAACTGTTGGCAGAGGCCAAATTTTATCAAGTTGAAGGAATGATAAACGAGCTGCAACCAAAGCCTTCGGCAGTTCCAGTAGTTCAGCCGATTGTAGTTCAACCGTTCAAGGATTCAGTGATTCTCTCGTCCAGTCAAGGCCAGACTTTGATGAATTGGTTGAAGAACACCCCAGGCTTTCCTAGCACTAATGATCAATTGTTATACCGCACCTCTAGAGATGGTTGGGCTTCTTTCAACTTTCATTCCTGTTGTGATAACAAAGGACCAACAGTTACAGTGATCAAGAGCGGAGATTACATATTTGGAGGGTATTCTGAACATCCGTGGAAGTCGTATGGTAGGTCTTAGGTATTTAAGCTATATTTAGGAATTAACTCTAGATCTAGGACTTAAATCCAATTGTATGATACAATCGGATGTTCGTCTGAGAAAGATTGTCTCTCTTTCTCTCTGTCTTCCTTATCTCACCCTGTCAAGATGAGAGATCATTTTGCTGTTGTTATGGAAGAAGAGAAGCGTTTGTTGGAAACGGAAAAGTAAATTTCTCTCGCAGTTAACAGTGTATTATAAACTGTTCTTAGACCTCAAAAACTATTTTCTCGCGCCTTGCAAAAATATTAAAATGATAATAAACACAGTAGCCTCTATTTGGTGCGAAAATATCGCAACAAATGATGTCCATGAACAAATGTCCGTGCAAATATTTGCGCCAGATGAAAGCTATCGCTCATTTATCCATTTATGTATTCTTATTCATTAGGTTCTGGATCGTTCAAAAGAGCACTAACATCGTTCCTGTTCAGTCTTGTAAACCCAGGTGGTCTACCACCAACAAAGATCTCTCTGATACCTGGAAAAGAATTAAACTCCATCTATTGCCATAGTAACTACGGGCCTACATTTGGAGGAAACTACGATCTTTATGTCGCCAATGCACCGAATTCTTGCAACTGCTGTACAGACCTTGGAGACACTTATCAGTGCCCTGCAGGTCAGGATACTCAAACGTTTTTAACAGGAAGTATGAATTTCCTTGTCAGTGAAATGGAAGTGTTTAGTTTCAAGTGGCAAGACTAATCGAAAGTGAACTAAGATTAGTAACTGTTTGTTTTTATCATATCTCGTTCACTTTTTATTTCTTTCCCTGTTTTACTTAGTCAGATATTGAAAGCTTTGCTGAGTTGTCTCATTAGATAGCGAAGTCGTTCTGTCGGTTAGATGGATGTGTTTTGCTTTCAAAATGTAAGGCGTATGGCTACTTTGTTGCGAGACTGACATTTAATAAACAACAGTGTCTGTTAAGGATCACATCTCGTTATCGATGGTTTGGATAAGTTTTGTTTTACTGTAGGCTCACCACAGTTTATGGGACTCTAACGTAGTACACTTCGTGAGGCAGATCAAAGACTGATAATCAAACATTTAAGTTATCAATTGAGTAGACAGGGCGTAGAAAAAAACCCTCCTTAGAAAATAAATATGATAAATATGATGATGGATTGATGTTATCCTTCCTTTTCTTACATAGTCGACAAAACTAAACCGTGAAAACCAATGCAAGAGCGGTACACTTTTTTAAAAGTAAAACCGCAGTCAGTCATTAAAGGGGAAAATTCTTGTGGGACAGTATTCTGCATCATGGTGCGAATTTCAAATGAGTGTCAAAGTTTAACGCAACGGCCATGCATAACATAGGTAACTATAACGAGAAGCCAATAGGAACACTTTGGTTTGAACACGCAGCCTTCCCAAAAGTGCCGTAAAGCGAAGCGGTAAACAAGTCGCGTTTGGTTTTGGTTTAGCGTTTGATTGGTCAAGAGGATGACGTAAGTTCAGGGACCAATCAGTTATCGCCTGGGGGGTGGTAGTATTTTGGTTGTGTCACCATAAAAACTGCGTAATTCCCTCGTAAGGACACTGTAGTAATCTAATGATAACCCCTCATTGGCATTCATAATTCCCCTCCCTTCCCCCCCTTGACCCCGTGGTGGTTATATGCTAGTACCAATCCTAATTTCAATTCAGGTAAATGTCCCTATTATGTACATAAGGAAAAATTGGAAGGAAAAAAGATTGACATTAAGCGGAAAAACAAGTCCCCGTTGAAAATATACGACTACTGAGCTTGTTAAAATAAAGTTAAGACTTAGATACCAGTTTTCTTCATTGTACCAATGTAATATGAGTAAATGAACCTCGAAGAAAATTCTTCCTATCTTGGGAGAGATCATAAGTTATGGAAGTAATTCAGTTTCGCAACCGTATTAGATAGTCCTAAATAACTTTGCCGCAAATTAATTTCT